TGTTAGACTTAGTGTAGCTACCTGATTGGCTCTAGCCCGACTTCTGCTCAGAACTCCCAAGTTTGAGTGATTCACTAATCTCTCTTTTATGGAGGATTACCATATAATACCTAGCAGCAACCCTTTGTTTTTATATCATGGTCTATCTGAACCACTTTTTGGAAGGATAAATTAACTGAAACATGTCAGTTCTCCAACCAATAGCCTTTTGAGTTATCCAGTTTTCAGAAAGACTTTGTAATTACTAGAAAGAAATAAAAATAACTTTTCATTTCAGCAAACATATATGGAATACCTGCTGTTTATAAGGTACTTTAAGGGATACACTGGTAATGGGGGGGGGGTGTGACCAAATACAAGATTTAAGAAAAGCAGCCTGTGACCACTCATTAACATGTGAACATAGAATCTTAGAATGTTAGATTTGAATGGGGGTGCCAGAGGTCGCCTTGACTTCTTCCTTCCTGAAGCATTCTTTTTCTCTGCAGCTTCCTTGACAGGTCATCATCTATCTAATCTGTCTGAAGACCTTCAGTAACAAAAATCTTGCCATCTTTTCAATAGTGCATTACATTTTGGGGCATCTTTTGTCAGGAAGTTCTTTGTATTGAGTTAGATTCTCCTTCCTCATAAATTCTGCTCATTGTTATGTAGCTGATCCATTTAAGGCTAAAGTAGGTCAGATGAAATAACCTAAAGATAATTGGAAAGACCACTAGAGGGGGAGTCAGATGACTTTGGTTCAATCTGAAGATTGTTATAAATTTTGTAATCTTGTGCAAGTTATTTTACCTCTGTACTTCTATATAAAATGAAGATTATTGTACTTTATCATTCTCAGAGTTTTTGTGAAGAAAACTTTGTAAATTGCAAAATGCTATAAAATCTGAGTAACAGTGATTGGTTGGTTCTCTGGTAAGGAAGCAGTGTTCTGATTGACTTCTTTTAAGCCTGAGCTAAAATGCCACCTTCCACAGAAGTCTTTCCCAATCCCTCTTAATTCTAGTGCCTTCCCCTGTTTATTATTTCCTATTTATCCTGTAGATAGCTTGCTTGTACATATTTGTATGTTGTTTCCCACTTGTATTATGAGCTCCTTGATATCAGGACTATTTTTTGCCCTTCTTTGTATCCCCAGAACTTAGCACAGTGCCTGGTACTTAGTAGGGGCTTAATAAAAGTGTATTGACTGATTGACTCCTAACCTTTACAAAAGGCTGTCTTTCCACTTGAGAGTGAACATGCAAGAGTGGTCTGACCGAAGTTGCGTAAGAAAGAAGTTACTTGGGAAAGGGTCAGTCATTGGCCCTTAAGAGAAGGGTTAGTATAGTAAAATTAAGTGCTGGATTTGGTATCGAGAGAGAACTGAATTTTGACTTCTCCTACCTAAGAGCTATGAGATTATGGGAAAATCACTTTTTCTTTTTCAGCCTCAATTTATCTTTCTTACTTATTTTTTAATTTTAATTTAATTTATTTTATATATTATTATATTATATATAATATATTTTATTTTATAAATGGGGATAATACCTTTTCTCTTACCCTCTTGAGGGTTGTGAAAATTCAATAAAATACATGACAACACTTGCAAACCTTCCAGCACTGTATGCCTTGTAGCTATTGCAAAAAGTGTTGAATTTGGAATCTGAGAGCCTCTGTTCAAAGCCCAGCTCTTTGTTTACTCCTCATATGACCTTGGAAAAGTCATTTAGCCTTTCTGGGCCTTGGAGCCCTCATTTTTTTTTTTTTTTTAAAGAAAGGCAAGAAGATTGTTTTTAATGAAAACTTGCAGTTGATTGAATCCAATATAGTTTTGGAAAGATGCTAGATATAGTTGGCAGAAACCAGCAAATCTTGAGGTTGTGTGTGACTTTTTCAGAAAACTAATTTCAGGACATTGTTTATTTCCTAGAAATTTTACAATATGATGAAACTAGTGTGTTTTGTTGATGCTTATTAACTGCTATTCTGGCAGTGAATGAAGTTTTTCTGACTTTCATAAAATAAAAACCTTTGGAGATTTGAAAATTTTATTATCCAAGAGTTTTCAAAGGTGTTATACATAAATATCTCTTGCTAAAAGAAAACACATGTGTTTGTGCAAAGAAATATTTTCTGATGTGTTAATTTTTTATACAATTTTTTTATATTTTTATATTTTTATGCATACAAAGAATATTTCTGAATTATAGACTCATTTAAGACTAGCAAAACTTTTTGTTACTATAAAATTGTAGAACTCAGCCTGATAAAGCAGTGTTAGTGTCTGGAAATAGTTCTTTCTGCTCTCAGATATTACTTCATTCCTTCAATCCATGGATCATATTTTTAATATGAAATGTTATTACGTAATTACAGATTAGGTTCATGAAAAGCTGGTCCACTGTACAGCTGCTTACATTTTTTAGTATTGCTATGATAGTAAAGCTGCAGTTTTATATGTTGATTATTTCTGGGATTGATTTGGGGTCTTAGAAGAGGAAAAGTTCACAAAAAGTTTGGGAGGATAGAAGTGTAGGAAAACTTCTTGAAGGTGGATTTTGAGATGGTCTTTGACAAATAAATTAGGTAGAATTTTCAACAGATGGAGATTGGGAAAAGGTTAGAAAATGTAATGAAAACTGATTTTTATCAGAGAGGGAAGGGAACAACAAGTGTTTGTTCCCTGTACAAATACAAGTACATAGTGCCTGCTACGTACATTTGATCCTCACACCCACCTTGGGAAGTAGGTGCTTTAATTATCCCCATTTTACAGTTCAGGAAACTGAGACAAACAAGTTAAATGACTTGCCCACTATTGCACAGCTATGTGACACACAGTAAGGATCTGAAGTTGGATTTGAACTCAGATCTTCCTGACTCCAGGCCCAGGACTCTATCTGCCTGCCTACTTGGCAAAGTCTTTGGTGTGAATTAGACAAACTTGAGGTAGTCCAGTTTGGCTAAAATATAGGGTCTGTATGGATTGATAGTATAAGCTAAAGCTAGAAAAATCAGTTGTACTAATTTGTGTCTTAGGTGCTATGTTGTCAAGTACAAAAGAAGCCTAAGTTAACCACTTATAGAATGTTATGTGTTGATCATGAAGTATATTTGTTTGTTGATTTGTTGATTATGAAGTATATTTATAAGTTATATTTAACTTAAATGTTATGTGTTGATTATGAAGTAGACTACTTTGCCCATTTCATTTAACTCCTAAGTTGGTATAATTGAGCAGAGATTCTCAAACTTTCTGTCTTGAGAGATTGTCACCCTTGAACATTTAAATTGGCAACATTTGAAAATTTAAATTGGCAACAAAGAAGAGGTCTGAACATTTTGGCTTTCAGGCCCAATAACTAGGCCCTGGGGTTCCAGTTTCTCCTCCCCCTCTCCTCCTTTATTTCCCTGTGGTACAGGAGAGCACAGCTATGCTCCTCTAGATAGAGTTGCTTTTATGACCTTGTCCATACCAAGCCTGGAAGACCTGGTAGCAAACTGGAAAAGAAGGTGGCAAGCCATTCCAATATTTTCGACAAGAAAACCCCAAATGGGGTTACAGTCAGACATGACTGAAACAACTGAACAACAACAAAATATTCCATTGCATTCATGTACCACAATTTGTTTAACCATTTCCAGATCAATGGACATCTACCTTAATTCCAATTCTTTGCTATCACAAAAGTACTGCTATAAATATTATGCTGTATATGAGTACTTTGTTCTTAGCAATGGTCTTGTTGGAGTATAAACCTCATAGAATTTCTAGGTCAAAGGGATGGTTCTTTCAGTCACTTTTTAATTTCAAATTGCTTTCCAAAATGGTTATACTGATTCATAACTGCACCAACTACGCATTAGCGTGCCTCTCTCTCTTAAGACAATACCTATTCCAGTCTTTTGGAAGATCAGCAGTTCTAGTGTCTTACGAGTTGCAGATTCCTTGAGTGGTTAAATGTGACTTCTCAGAGATAAAGCCAGTATGTACCAGTATGTACTTAACCTCAGGTTTTCCTGACTCCAACTTTGAGGATACTTCTTTAGCTATGATTAGGTAACTGCTAGGTGGTGCAGAGAATGGAGTTCTGGGCCTGGAGTTAGGAAGACCTGAATTCATGTATGACCTCAAACATTTAACTAGCTGTGTGACCCTGGGCAAGTCACTTAACTTACTGTCCTCAATTTTTTCATCTGTAAAATGAGGATAATAGTAGCACCTACCTCCTAGGGTAGTTGTGAGGATCAAATGAAATAATAATGATTGTAAAGCACTTAATACAATGCGTGGCATATAGTAAGCACTACATAAGTGTTTATTATTGTTATTACTCCATGCTGTTGGTAATTTTGGGGATTATGGAGTTTTATTATCAGGGTATGTAATTAAAGTAGATAACATAAAGTATGTTATTTATCAGTCAATCAGTAAATATTTATTAAGTACCTACTCTGTGCCAAGCACTGTGCTAAGGCACAATTCCTCTATGATTATCTGTCTATCTACTTATTTATATATCTGTCTTATTTTTTTTCTCATACCAGTATAGAAACCTATGATCTTACTCATTTGAGAGTTTAGGTGAAACATGGTAGATATTGATGATATTTTTCTCAGAGCTTCTCCAATTTATTTTCTTGATCCTCTTTCTTCATTGTATTCACTTCATTATATTTCTTCATTGTATTGACTTCCTTCATTATCATAGTCCTGTTATTAAAATTATACACAGAACATATAATTGGGATTTAGGCTCTGTCAATTAAAGTATGTACAGTAACTGCCATTGATTCTTGTTGCTAAAACTATTAGAAGAATTCAAATATTTTCCTTACATTTTTAGACTTTGCTTTGCTTTGCATTTTCAGCTGACTATCAAATGCTTTTTCTGCAGTGTAGAAGAGCTACAAAGTAAGAACTCATACCCAAGTTGCAATTTTATTGTTTGTGTATGATTTGCAATGCTTTGTCATGATATTTACTTTTAAAATTTTGCCTTTCTTTCTTCTAGTGTAAACCAGAATATAAGGTACCTGGACTTTATGTTATTGATTCCATTGTACGACAATCTCGACATCAGTTTGGTCAAGAAAAGGATGTGTTTGCACCCAGATTTAGTAATAACATCATTAGCACTTTTCAGAATTTATATCGTTGCCCTGGTGATGACAAGGTACGCTATTATTGTTTTAAGGGATTTCTTATCATAAGGATTCTTAATTTGGGGATCCCTCTTCCAAGAGATTAATGGGTAAATTTCACAAGGTCCAGAAACATGGAGGGGGGAAAAATTATATCTTTATTCTGACTAACTTGTAACTGAAATTTAGCATTTCTTTCGATTGTGAATGTAGGCAGCAAGCCACAGTAGTATTCTGCTTCATGAGACTATCAGAAGGGTCACTGACACAGAAAATCTTAAGAACCCTTGACCTAGAGCTTTATTATGAAGTACCTAGAATAGTGATCATCTTTGGCCAAAGCACAACCATTTTATTTATAAGGATTTGGTTTTTGAAGTGTTTTGACGTAATATTTACTTACCTATATTCAGACTACTCCCTATTTTCAGGTACATTCACTTAAAAGTTAAAGTATCAATTAGGTATAGCCTTTTTAGAGTCTTGTCTCTTTTGAATTGTTTTATGTCTTAGGGTAAGATTGTAATATTTTTCTTTAACAATTTAGTTTTTTAGTATAGGCAACATAATGATGTATAAGTAGCACTGGATTTGGAATTAAAAGACATGAGTTCAAAAATTTTACTTGTTAACACTAAAAATATTCTTGTATTATTGAATGATAGTAAATGATAACCTATTCTTAACTGGTTAGGTTCTTTGAAGTATATACAGGAGATTATCAGTATATGAAAGAAAATAAATACTATATAATACTAAAGTTGAACTAAAAATACAATTAAATACTCTGTAAATATTGCATTTATATAGTGATTTCAGGTTTACAAAAGACTTTGCTTATATTAACCCTGTGAAATAGGTCATGCAAATAGTATTATCCCCATTTTGCATATGAATATCAAAATCCTTTGAGGTATGAGGTATTTGGTAGTTGCTACGAGATTCTGAGAAAGGCAGGGAGTACTCTGGTTAGGATGATATGTGTAAATAATTTTTGTTGCAGTGCAAAAAAATCTCCAAGATAAAGTTGTTAGCATGAGATAGCAGTTGTGAATTTAGGGTAAGCAGGTAAAACCAGAGCAAAGATGAGACAAGTCTTAAAGGATCCAGTGGGTGTGAGAACTTCACTATAGTCAGTAAATCCAAAATAAGTACTATCCTGGTCAGTCAGGAACTGAAATAAAGAGGTTAGTCTCAAGGGGTTAATACTGCAGAAAAATAGAGATCAGAATTTAGACAAGAAATCTGGGTAAGCCATCAGTAAGAAAGAATTTAAGATGGAGGCACTGGAATTTCATAGACTTAAGGTTTTTATTTGTTTTCTGTGAAGGATGAACCAATTCTAGTATGACCAGATCAGATTGATCTAGGTACAGGAAAATAGTAATATCTGTCTAGGATGGAGTTATGGGGATGTCAGTAGGACAAAGCCAGGGCAGTTCTTGATAGAGAGTTAAGTCAGGGATTAGACCACAGTTGTGGAAATGAGAAAAAGGAAGAAGGTGTGATTCAGGAAATATGTGATGTAGCAAATTTGTACCAAGTGCTTAGTCTGTGGGAGGATTAAAAGTTTAGATATGGTTATGCCAACACAGTATGATTTTATAATATAATACATAATAATATGTAATATGTGTATATGTTTGTTTTTTGAGGGCTGGGTGTGGTCTGATGAAGGAAAATCATTACTAACCATTAATAAGGAAGAATTAATGGACCTTGGGCAGATGGGATGTGTAGGGACTATACATATAGAGAAGTCAAAATGACCTGAAGCAATATTAAAAGAATTAACAGTGATGGCGATAATAGAAAGGCGGTGATAATGGAAGGGATAATAAGGGAACATGTATAGATGTGTTTCATAATAGTTTTTTGTATAGTGTCTAATTATATATATTCACTAGAGAGTGAGATGGTCATAAAAAGTATTTACAGACACATAAATCTAGGTATCTTTTACAGAGGAACTTCTGGTAAATCTGAGTATAAACGGAGAAAACACTCAGGTTAATAAACCCAAGGATTACCTTAAAGGATTACGTTAATATCAAAGCAGGGGAAGAAGAAGCAGTCAGAAAATGTTTGAGAGAGAGAAGAGAACAATATTCCTTAAACTGAGACTAGATATGGGAACAAGAAAGAAAAAAAAATGGTAAATTTTAAAATGGTAGAAAAGAATAAAAATAAAGATAACATCATTGGATCTTGCTGAACCTGGCCCAATGTGTAAGAGTTTGGTCATGAATCTGGGGAGATATTATATTAGAATCTCTTAAGAATTTTTTCTGGGGCAGCTTGGTGGCGAAGTGGATAGAGCACCAGCCCTGAAGTCAGGAGGACCTGAGTTCAAATACGGCCTCAGACCAAACATTTGACACTTACTAGCTGTGTGACCCTGGCCAAGTCACTTAAACCCAATTGCCCCCCCCCCAAAAAAATTTCCAAGTTTTAATTGTTGGTTCAAAAATGTGTGAGTGCCATAATGTGTTACTCAAATACTTGAACACAGTTATTATGTCCCCTTTAACACTTTCCTTCTCAAGGCCAAACATTCTTAGCTCCCTCAAGTAATCCTCAAATAACATGATATTAAGGTACTTTACCATACTGCTTGCTTTTTTTCTGGACTCTCTAGATTAAAAATATGCTTCCAAAAACATGGTGCCCCCAACTATACACAGTGTTCCAGATGTGGTCTGACTGAGGCTTAGTACAGCATAACTATTCCTTTTATAATACTGAACGTTATGCCTCTTTCAGTGCAGCCTAAGATCAGATTTGTGGGGTGGGGGAGGGTGTTAGAGGGTTGCCATATCCCACCTTTGACTCATATTGCAGCCCTTTAAAACTTCTATTTTTTTTTTTTTCAGACCAAAGGTCATCTAGCCAAGGTTTCCTCTTTTTTGTACTTTTGTTTGGAATCTGAGTATAAAACTTTACGTTTCTAAGCATGAAATTTCATTTTAAGAGTATCAGCCCAATGTTCTAACCTTTTGAAACCTTTTGGATCCTGACTCTGTCATCTTACATATTATCTCTACTATCCTTCTGTCAAACACAATATTCGTAAGGCTACCATCTGTGCTTTTTATCCATCATTAGTAAAAATGATAAACAGTACATGTTCATGTACATCCCCTTCCACTGGAGACTTCCTTTAAAGTTAACATTGTATCATTAATCATTAATCCTTGGATTTGGAATTCAACCAGTTTTGAGGCCATCCTAAACTATTCTTTATCATAACTTGTTTACAAGAATAGCATGAGACTTTGTCAAAGTGCTTTGCTGAAAGGATCAGTTCTATCTATACCATTGACTCTGTGTGACCACTTTCTTTTTGTATATGTTTATTAACCATCCCTTTAATTAACCATTCTAGAATTGGCTAATCCATAGTTTACAAGCTCTTTCTCTTCCCCTTTTGAAACTCACATAGTATTTGCCCTTCTCCTGTTTATTCCCTCTTTGAGCAATGATACAGTGGTCTACAGACACTTCTTCTAGTTTTCAGTATTTGACATACTTGATTTGGGCTTGGTGACTTGAACCCATAAGGGGCATGTAGATATTATATTATTATATCAACTCCATATTAGCCATTTTCACTGTGATTTGCAATCCATTTTCTTTTGCATAGAAAGCAGAAGCAAAATAAAAGTTCTGCTCTCTCTATATTTGGTTCTCTTTGTCCTTTCCACCCCAAGTCATGAGATGCCTTTAGTTGTTCCTACTCTTGGTCTGTTTTAAGATAGCAGGACTTTGGAAGTGATATACCAGGAAGATCTTTATACCAGGTGCACAGTTTACAAATGCAAAGAACGAAATAATCCCTACTCTTGAGAGCTTATATTCTAACAGGAGAGACAATAGGTACATACATTATAAGAATACAAATAAAGAGGACAAATATAATTTGGGAGGGAAGGTTCTATCTATCTGTGCAGTAAGGAAAGGTTTTGTATAAAAGGTGGTGCTTGAGCTGTGTCTTGAACGACGAGAGGTGTTCTGTGAAGTGGAGGTGAGGAAGGAGAACATTCCAGATGTGATGAAAGGAAAGAAGGATATTTGGAAGAGGTTTGGGTTGCTGAGAAAAGATAATGAGCTTTTTGGGGGGCATGTTACGTTTGAGATGCATCTGGGACATCCAGTTTGAAATGTTCAGTAGGCAATTGGTGTTGTAGGACTGAAGCCCAAGATGCATACCAATGAAACCTATGAAAGCTAATGGTTGCCAACAAAGAGTATATGTAGAAAGGACATTAATAACTTCGAGAGTGAGCATGATGGTAAAGAGCTTCAGAAGGATTATGCCATATGAGGATTGTTTAAAGTAACTACAGATACTTGGCCTAGAGAAGAGTAAAGTTGGAAGCGGGATGTGCATTACAGCTATGTTCTAGTGTTTGAGGGTCTATCATGTAAAAGATAAGAATCATTCTTTTTGGCTCCAAAAAGCTGAAGTAGGACTGATGAGTGGAAGTTATAGAATGGCATATTTACAGATAAATAGCTTTTTTCAAAAGTGGAATGGATTGCCTCAGGATATATAGTGAGTTCTTTTTCACTAACTATAGTAAAGTAAAGATTGACTACTATATAGTGGTTGAACGCTATACAGACTCTTCCTTCAGGAACTGTTTGGACTAAATGACATCTGAGCTCCTTTCCAAATTTGAGATTCTGCTATGTGTTTAGCACCTTGGGGAAAAGCTTGATTAAGACCTGGTTACTGCCCATTGTCTTTTAGGTAAATTTGGGTAAACACAAAGGTAGAGTTAATGTACCTTCCAAAGTTTCTTCTATACCAATAAGTTAGGCACTGGGAGAATATGATTTAAGCCTTATGAAATATTTAAGACATAAATGCCAAAGCTACTTTAAATAAAGACAGCAGTTAAGTCCACCATATTTTTTCATTGTTCAAGGTAAATGCTGCCAAACTATTTTTCCATAAATAAAAGATTAGTAGATTAGCATGATTATGATGAAGTTTCTAAATTTAAATTATTATATCTTACATTTTTTCTCTTTTCCAGAGTAAAATAGTCAGGGTTCTAAACTTATGGCAGAAGAATAATGTGTTTAAGAGTGAAATTATTCAGCCTCTTCTTGATATGGCAGCAGGAATTCCACCACCAGTTGTCACACCCATATTGCCAAGTACGGCAGCATCTATGAGCAACAACACACCAGGTATTTTGTGAAATTATTCATCTGTTATGGATTTTAAAATAATCTTTTACTTATACCCCTGTTTTCAGGTGCTTATTCATTAGTAAAATAATAGTTGTCTGCTGGAGAATTCATCCCAGTAGTATGTAATTGGGAAAATTATATTTTTACGAGATGATACTTTAAAAAGTAAAACATGGAAAATATGGATATCATTTTATAGTCTAAATGAGAAAGTACTTGTAATTTACCAAATTTTGGAGACTACTTTTTCATAAATGAAAATTAAATGAATGAAATAATAAAATTTAAAGGTTCATCTTACATGTCTCATTAGGTTTTCCTTAATATATGTGCATTAAATGTATTTTTAAATTATAGTTTGTAAATTGAAAATAACAAAGCAAGTGCTGTTTTAAACAAATTACAGGTACTCTCAGGAGCCCTGAGAAAGATACACTAGTGAAATAAAGTATGATAATAAAGTAATTGTGCCAAATTCGTTTGTTTTATAAGTCTAGATATTTACTTATTATTTTTTAATTATGTGACCTTCTTGTAATTTAAAGTACGGATGTAGTAAAAACCTATTAAGTATATAGTTTTAAGATGGATTCCTCTTCATATATAAAACTTTTTTTTTCTTTCAAGGAACTCCTGTGACACCTGTTACTCCAGCCAATGTGGTACAAGGTTTGCCTGACCCTTGGGTATCTCAGATAGCAAATACAGATACATTAGCTGCTGTGGCACAGATTCTGCAAAGTCCTCAAGGCCAACAGGTTAGTATTTTTTAGCTTGATGTACAAAAATGAACACAAAGGATATTTAATGATGTTAAATGTTTTAGAGGGTCTCATTGTTTATGTATATAATAAAAATCATTTTCATTACTATTACTGTAGAGTTGAGAATATAGAAGATAATAGATAATAATTATGAGAGGTTTTTAAAAACTGTATTTCTTTCAAGAACTTATTAGCATGTAAATATGCCCCCATTTAGTCATTTATATTTTTTTGTGTACATGAGCTCTTCTGTGTGAGTACTGCTGCTGTCAGTGTGTGACTAATACACGCCCTTCTTTAAACCACCCACTATGCTGTAGGTATTCTTTAGATCTCTTCACATTGGAGCATGCAGACTGGCAATTGTTATACCATTCCTCATCTTTTCCCATCATCTGCTTGCCACCTTTTCTATTCATCTACTAGGCTTTCCTTCTATTATTTCTCTGTATTTAATGTGATGATATTACTATAGCCTTTCGTTATCCTTCTTTGTAAGATTTTAGAAATAAATTTGTATTCTATACCAGTATTACTCTGTTTGTCATATCTCTCCATGTGGCAAAGATAAGTTATTTTGTGGTTTACACAGCGTCTGGGCTATTTTTTGTTGTTGTCATTGATGTTTCTTTTTGTGATGGATTCGTCTTGGTTAGATTTATCCAGAAAATTGTGATAGTTTTTGTCAACGTTTATTCCTTTATCCATTTTGCATTTATTTTTTGGTGACAGTATCTCATTTAAATAGGTCTGCCTGGAGTTGTTTCAATTGCATACCATATCTTTTATTCCAATTTGGTAGTAATTTTTATTTTTATTATAATAAGTCAGTTGTCTGACTGAATTAGATTTGAGTCACATTGGTAATTAGGCATTTCCTATCTGTTAAGATATCAGTTAAACTTTTTTGTTATCAATTTTACATATTTCTGAATATAAATAGTTGTATACACATATTTTCTTGTTTTTACTAAACCATCCCTGTGCAGAAAGCACCTGAGATGTTGGTTTTTCCACTGGAGACCTAAAGAGTTTAATAACAGAACTAAAACTATAGTTCTGTTCTCGTTCTCAGTACAAACAATTCTCCACTCCCCCTCCAAACTCTTCCCTGATACTCTGCCTCTCTCTGAAACATAAGGTTAGCATGCAAAAATAAATTTCATCCTAGCCTCAGTATGACTTTATAGGTTTTTATAATAGTGTCATATTTATTAATATTGTTTTGCTTTGTTTATGAACTACTATGATAGTTCCCCTTAAGTTCATCATGTAGACTTGAGTGATAAATGGATCTTATTTTAATAGTAATTTCAGTAATAGTCCTTTGCACAGTGTATAAAAATGGATCTTTTTCATTGTCTTTACTGCCACTCTGTTCCGTGTCTTCATCACGACACTACTGTATAATTGTAATATTCTGCTAATCATTGTACCTACACGGTCTTTGCTTTCTAATTTATTCTGTACCTAGCAGCAAATTTAATCTCCCCCCAAATACTAGGTTTCTACGTGTTCTTTAGCGTCTCTAAAAACCTTCAAGGGCTCTCCACTGATTCCATATTGTCTGGCATACAAGGTCTTTTATAATCTGACCTCTGACTCTTTCTCCTTCAGCCTTATTTCCACAAAAAAACCCTTCATTTCAGATGAGCCAAAGTATTCTGTCTGGTTATTTTCTGCAACATCCTAGTCTTTCAGGATAACCTTCAGTCCTTAAGAGCAAGTATTTTCTTTCTTTTATTGATATTCCCAGTGCTTTGCGGATAGTAAACATTTCACAAATGCCTTTTCATTCATTTATTCATTTTATAAATCTTACCAACATTCGTAACTACATTGATTGATGTTCAAGGACAAGAGTTTGTATTATGTCTTTGTATCCTCAGTACCTTGTACAATTTCCTGTATACATTCTATCAAATCAATGTTCATTGATAATGATTAAAAGACTAAAAATTTCACTTTCATTATATCAGCATTTAGCCATATTAGATAAACTAAAATTAGTTTAATTTTTTCTTTGAATAAGCAGTGATTTACTGTTGAAAAGTAAATTTTCATTAAAGGGATATTAATTTCTATATCAATAGTAAAATTCTTGCCAATATTTTTTATGTTGAATGGTGGAATTTTTCGCATTTTATACTTTAAGATTAGGTCTCAATTATTCATTCAGTTCTTAATTGAACTGTGAAATACGCTAAATACCTAAGGTTAGGTAGTTACAAAAAAATAAAGTTGAAAGCTTTGCTTTTAATTTTTTGGTTGATATCACTGCTTTTGGTTTTGTTTTGTTTTGTTTTGATCCCTATTTTCAAGCTCACCTGCTTAAAAAAAAAGCCCTTTAGAGCTAAACTCTCCTTAATCTCAGAGAAGACAGGCGCTAGACAGCAATTTTATAAAGTGGGAATGAAAACTTAGGTGTATACTTTACATTCTCTAATATATAGATATAATGTTGAAGTAAAGATCAAATTGGTTAGGGTGAAGTAGAGGAAGGGCAATGAAGAAATTAGTCAACTTCTTTTTGGCCTAGATTTATTAGGATATGACTTCATTAATTTAGTTTGAGGCACGTATTGTCAAAGAAATATATTCCTTTTAGATATATACAAATTTAGGTACTTAGTTCATTAATTCAAAAATTCTGTAATTTCAGAAAACCTGAATTCTAATCCCAGCTTTACCACCTGCTGCTTGTGTGACCTTTGACAAGTCACTTAATATTCTTATCTGTAAAAATGAGGGGATTAAATTTTATGACTTCTAAGGTTTCAGCCCCAAATATATGATAAATATAGGTACTTCCTCCAGTGATGCCTTTGCCTTTCTTTACCTTGGTAGATGGTTTCATTAGTTACTGTGCCCACAGTAGTTCATTACTTAACTAACTTTCTGGTGTTAATCTTTCCCTGAAATTATCTTAGTCCACAGACAAGGTGGAAAGTCTTTTGGGCTAACATTTAAGACCTTTCCAGCTTGATGGGGCCTTCTAAAACTTGAGTGCATTGGTATTGCCATGATGAGACATTGAAGTAGAATTTTTTCATTGGATATTTATCTGGATATGCTTAGTCATATGAAGACCCATATTTCTCAGACATGTCATTTAATTTTGTATTATCTTCCTATTTCCTTCTCTTTTCTATATATTATATATTCAGTAGTATTTATTAACTACTCGTCAAATGCAGGATATCGTGTTAAGTGCTAGAGATACATAGAAAAAAATTAAATGATTTCTGCCTTCAAGAAGTTTGCACTTTATTGGGGGGAGGGAATTGTTAAAATCTATAACAAAAGAGCTATTACAATATAATAGTGGGAAATAAGATTTTTTTTTTAGAGCTCTTCAAGGGGTGGTTACAAAAGATATTGTTAGAGCAGGTAGGTGGTGCAGTGGATAGAGCACTGGCCCTGGAGTCAGGAGGACCTGAGTTCAAATCCAACCTCAGACATATAACACTTACTAGCTGTGTGACCCTGGGCAAGTCACTTAACCCCAATTGCCTCACCAGAGGATAAAAAAAGATATTTTTTAGGAGATTGTACCTAAGCTGAATTTCAAAAAGTGCTAGATAGTCTAAGAACAGAAGCAAAGAGAGAATATATTTTAGGCATGGGAGAGACAGGAAATGAAATATCCAATTTGAGTCCAGTCTTGTTTGGCTGGAACATTGAATGCACAAAGGGATATAATCAAGTCAAGTCAGCAAGTATTTATTAAGCATGTACTATGTGCCAGGCACTCTGCCAAGGACTGGGGAATACAAAGCAAGATCTAGCACCCCCTCGTCCCCAAAAAAACCCAAAAACCTCAAACTTGTTCTTGCTCTCAAGGGACTTACAATCTAATGGGCGACATAGCATTTAAACAGCTATGTCCACACAAGATATATATACAGGGTAAATGAGAATAGAAATTAAATCTGAATGAGGGCCAGATTGAGTGTACTTTTAAATAACAGATATTTAGGAAATGGGGTGACCAAATCTTTGTTTTGTAAATATTAATTTGTCAGTTGTGTAGAAGAGAAGTTGAATTGGAGAGTGACATAAATATTAAGGTCTATTAGTAGGCTGTTGTAGTAGTCTAGACAAGAAGTGACAAGGAGTTCAACTAGGATTGTGGCAATGTGAGTGGAAATAAAAGATTGGAGATAAGAGATAGTGATTGATTTAATGTAATATTGGCCCTAGAACATCATAAAATTCATCCTCTTATTGTAAAGTTTACAAACTAATTTATAGAGAATTAATCTGCCTAGCCCAATGTCACATAGCTAGTAAGTATCTGAGATGGGATTTGAATCCATATCTTCCTGACTCCAACAATCATTCTTGTTGTGGAAGTAGCCTATCCCATTTTATCATAATTGCTATGAAAGTGCCCTATCCCATTATATCATGCTTGTTATAGCATGTTGTAGAAGTAGAATCTATAAGGTGAAGCTCAGATAAGAAGGCTGAAGAAAGAAAGATTCAAGGGTGACACAAAGGTAACCAGCCTGGGTAGCTAGAAGGATGATAATGCCTTCAACAGAAATAATGGTGTTAGAGGACGAGTGCTTGGGAGATGAGTTATCTTTTGGACATGTTGAATTTGAGATACCAACAGGACATCCAGGTGATATTGTCCATCAGGCAGTTGGTAATGTAAGATGAAGTTTAGAAGAGAGATTAGGGCTGAATGTATAAGATCAATGAGCAGGAAAGGGCTCAGTTAGGTTGGGTAAAGATGATGATTCAGTAAGAGACACAGAAATAGTTGTCACACAAGTAGAAAATGAAGCAAGGGAACAGTGCCATAGATGTCAAGGGAGAAAAGAGAGTCTTATGAAAGAGGATAACTGACAGTGTCAGAATCAACAAAGAGGACTGAGACTGAGAAAAAGATTTTTGGCAGCAAGAGATGGGATTATAAAACAGTTGTAAACGGTTGAGGAGTGAGTAAATGGAATATAGATTCTGTCTCATAGTTTGTGAAAGAGAAAAGATCGAATGATAATTTGAACACATGGCAGGGTCAAGTAAAGTTTTATGATGAAATATATGTGTGTTTGTAGGTGCTTAGTATAAGGATTCAGAGAAGTCACTCGGAATAAAGAGAGATAAAAGAGATTGGAAATTATTAAAGGGCCAAGCTCTTAGAGGAGATTGGAGTGAATGGAATCAAGTGCATAGGAAGTGGGATTGGTAACTTCCCCATGGCGTAGATAATTGAATGTGATCTACTGTGATCTACTGTAATCTACTTTTGGAAGTTGGGCATGTTTTTATTAAAAATTTCATTTTATTTTTGTTTCTTTACTCAATCATTTTTCTCTTTCCTCAGCTGCAACAATTAATACAGACACTACAGATTCAACAGCAGAAACCTCAGCCTTCACTACTTCAAGCACTGGATGCCGGTCTTGTTGTTCAGTTGCAAGCCTTGACAGCACAACTTACAGCTGCAGCTGCAGCAGCCAATACTCTCAATCCACTGGAACAGGGAGTCTCTTTTAATAAGGTATATATTGAAGCAGCATATTTGATTTATTTTGTATTGTTTTTTAGTTAAAATCCTGCTTGATGATTTAAATTCTTTGTGTGTCTGTTGAAGCTTATTTGATTAGGTATTAAAATGAGAGACATATTAGAGCATTTTGAATGTGCTTTGGACTTAAGAGCAGATTCCCTTTTTATTAGTGGTTTTTTGGACTTTTAAGTGTAGGAAATATTTGTATATTTCAAAATGAAGCTTTAAAAATATTTTTTCTAAAAGAAGGTAAAATAAATAAGTATTTTTGTGACTCATTATTATTTCTTGAAATGTGTTCCTACTGATAGTGCTAATTAATTAATCATAATTTTAACATCTATTCTTTCATGTACTTAAAATTGACAAATATGTTAGAATATAAAAAGTAGAATGGACCATACCAGTACTTGTTGCACTGTATAATTAATTTGAGATATAGGCATAAAATATCTTCTAAGATTCTAATAATAGCTCATATTTATATAGCTCTTCAATATTTATAAAGTACTTTCCCCACAATAACCTTGCAAAGTAGGGGTATAAGTAGTATTCCTATCTTACAGATTAGGAAATTAAGGCCCATTATAATGAAGTGACTCCATAACAAGAATTGGAGTCAGGATTTGAACCCAGGTCTCCTGCCTATCAATTGCTTTTTATTATGCCGTACTGCTTTTCCTATTAATAAACCATTTTACAGTGGACCATAAATTTTATTAGGGTGATGTATTATACTTCAGCACTTTTGTAAATGCCTTTTTAATGCAAGTTTTCTTTTATTTTCATTAAAAAATAAATGCTCATTTATTGACTTACGGTTTCTACATGGAAAGTTTATTGTTTAGTTTCATGTGTGATTTGCCTGAAGCAATCAGCCACAGATTACTTCCTTAAATTACATAAGATCTGAAAATACTAGCAGTGATAGGTACAACTTGTTTTGGTCATCTAGTTCCTGAATTAATATTTTTAATGAGCTATTTTATTTTTAAAAAGCATGAAACTTGATATCATTTTAATCTTAAAGTCAACATTAGCATGAAGACCATTGATCTAATAATTTTTTTCTTCTCTTAGAAGTTGATGGATAGATTTGATTTTGGAGAAGATTCTGAGCGTGGTGAAGAACCTAAAAAGGAAACTCCATCTTCCCAGCTGTACGTATTACATTATTCTTTTTAATTGTGAGCAAAATATTATCAGGTAAAATATATGTTTGAATTTTAGGTAATGTAACATTTTGTCACTTGAACTGGTTGAAAATAAATGTTTCCTGAATTAAATTGAATTGACAGGTCAAAGGAGCTGTTTAGCTTCAAGCTGAGGAATTTCAGCCTAACCAAATTTTGGGACAAATGACTGTGTATCTGTGCTACTTTGATTACCTGTTTTTTGTAAGGGCTTAGGGTCTTAGTCAAGGTCTGTTCAAGAACAGTGATAAACATCAAAACCAAAAGAGGCTAATGCATTATTTTCCTGCCAAACTAGAGTCTTTAAAATATAAAACTGTTGTGAGACCGTTTTGTACTGTGGGAAAAGCTTTCTTACCTGTGATGTCAGCGATAGGATACCTCTCCGACAATATACTCAGAATACAACAGGATGTGAAAAATAGGAAGAGGAGAATTTTTAGAAGATGGGTTTTATATTTTTAGTTAGAGTAGAAGAGGACCTTACAAGTCAGTTTGTCCAACTTCCTCTCACATGGAAAAAACTTATTCAGCATCTCTTGACAGATGGACCTCCAGTAACAGCTCATTCTACACATGCACAGCTTTTATTATTAGAAATTTCTGTTATGTTAAACTGATTTCTTCTTTATTGGTTTTAGTTTTCCATTTTACTGAAACAGAACTAGTTTTGATAGACTTTCAGATACTTTGACAACTGTCCTTCTCATAGTCCTTTTCTCTTTTAGGCTATATATAATCACTTTCATCATCTGTTCCCTGTGTGACTTTTTGATATTCTTTCAACATTGTTATTACCTTCTTCTTGGTACATTGTAATTTAATATTCCTCTTATTGACCCATTGTTTACTGATCATGGCATAATATAGTGAAACTACTACTACTTCTCTTGAATTGGACACTGAATACTTCTATTAATTAGCTTAAGATTACATTAGCTTTTTTTCTGGTCAGTCACCAGTGTTAGCTGGTAATGAAACTTGTGGTCAGTTGAAGTCATGAGCTAGGTCTACTGTTATCCAGAAGACATAATCATTATAGCCTAAATTCTATAACTATTTTTGCAAAGCTTTAATACATCAGGTATTACTGTAGGCATAATTATAGAATTTTTTAGGTATAGAAGTTTCTAAAAACTCTGTAGCAGTACATGAAAGTAACAATTCAGAATCCTGTTAATTAGAATGCTGTTCATGAAAAAAGTTTCCATTTAGATTTCAAACTAATGAACCCATCAATAGGACAGATGTTTTACTGAACTGAATGTTTCCTTTTTTCAAATTAGAAAGGGTATATATTTTTCATCCAGTTGTAGTAGAATTGATTGTCATGTTGTTTTTGCTTGCTTTTTTCTTTTTAGCCCTCATGTTTCAGAATCTGTAAACAACTCAATTTTTCATCAGTTAGCAGAACAACTACAACAACAGAATCTTGAGCATCTTCGACAGCAGCTCCTAGAACAGCAGCAACCTCAAAAGGTATATAACCCCATCTTGTGGTACTTAAGAGTTATTACCTCCTCTCTATAAAAAAAATTAACTTCACACATTCTAACTTAATTTTGGATAAAGGATTATAAATGAGCTTTGGGGCATGTTTTATTATCAGGTTTTTTGGGTTTGTTTTTTGTTTGTTTTTGGGCAGAGGCAGGGAGGAATGAGTCTCAGAACTTTATTTAAATGATCTAAAGAATGACCTATGAGGGAACTCTTTCAAGGGAGAGAGTTGCTGGGACTCTGAGATAAGTGATTTGCTCATAGCCATGTAGGCAGTGTATGTCAAAGACAGAACTCTTGAGGCTAGCTCTCTATTCATTTCATTCTGCTTCTCTAACACAATTTTATTAGTTTATCCCTTCCCAAAATGTAGAAGATCTGTCTCCAATGTTCTCAGTTATTCTCAGAAAGCTTAATCTATTCTGGTAACTGTTTGAAAGGCTGTCAGAAGTAACCAAAATCCACTCAGGCTAACAAATGAATTTTTTCTAAGAGGCACACTGTCTAATGTTTCGAAATAATTTCTATGCATTTTAGCAGCAGTGGAAAGAAGAAAAATAACTTGTATTTTTATTATTACTTTAGAGTTTTTGAAAGACTAACATTTGAATGATTTTCTCATTTGGAGGGAAAAAGACAAGCAGAGGTGTCAGAATTAACTACTACTTTCTATCCTTTCTACCCAATCACCCTAACAGCTTAGGTGAAAAATCAGTCAGTCCAGAGCTGATTGCTATGTTCCAGGCACTATGCTGTGTTGGGATAGGGGGGTGGGGGGAATCCATAGAGTTCTGTCATCTTGTGGTAGAAACAATGTATACAAAAACAGGTACATTTAAGATATGTACACATTTATGCCAAGCAGTTCATTGACAAAAAGAAAGGCTCCATAAACACCAAATAGAGCAGTAGTTTTTTGTGGTAGTGAAAACTGGAAACAAAATAGATATCCATCAAATTGGGGCATGGCTAAACAAATTGTGGTACAACCATGTAATAGAATGTTATTGTACTAAAAGAAATAACAAACATTATGAATAATATAGAGAGAAGTGAAAAGATATATACTAATAGAAAATGAAATCAATGGAATCAAGAAAACAGTGTATTAAACAATTACATAATGGAATTGTAAAGAACAACCACAGAGCAGTTGAAATTCAAAGTTATGAAATTACAAAGACCAATTTTGCTCCAAAGGTGAGGTGTGCACCCCTATTCCTTGTACTGCCACCTCTGCTCTTATGTAAAGTTTGGGGCACTCAGGTGTAAAACATTGTGTTTCATCTGCTGATTTTTTTAAAAGATTCTGTTTTGAGGGACATCTCTTAAGAAGAGGGAGGGATAAATACAGAGAGACTTGTCAGTGATGTGAGTGAGATCAAACAGAAGATTTCAGTAAAAATCATTTTGAAAAAAGATTTTTAGAGAATAGATATAAGGCTGTCTAAGAGGGAAAAGCGCTAGTGGCCAGAATGAGTGGTAAGAGTCTCCTATAGTAGGTGGCCCTTGCGAAAAGTCTTAAAGGAAGCCAAGTATTCTAAAAGTCATACGTGAAGTGCCTTCTAGGAATGGTGCATGGCTAGTGCAAAACTGGACCACAGAATAGAGGATGGGGAGTAATGTCCAGAGAGACTTGAAAAGTTTGGGACCAGGTTGTATGGGACTTTAAAAGTAAACAGGAATTTATCTCTCATTCTGGAGACAATTGGCAGTGACTGGAATTAATTAGGAGAATGATATAGGTAAAGTTTGTACTTGAGAAAAAACACTTGCAGTATAGAGGAGAGACTTAAGCAGGAAAACAAAAAAAAAGAGGATGCTCTTGCAGTAATCTAGGCAAATCCAGAATAGTCCCTGCCCTCAAGGAACTTACATTCTAATGGCAGACTGAATTAAAGTGGTAACTGTGTGAATAGCAAGAAAGAAGTTGGGTTCAAGAGATATTATGTTGGTAAATACAGCAACATTTGGCAATTGGTTGAATATAATGAGTGAAAGGAGAGTGAGGACTCAAAGATAATGCCAAGATTATGAATCTGGGAGACTTAGAGATTGATGATGCCTTTACCCAAAATAGGGACATTTGGAAGAAGGTTGGGGAGAGGTGCTGAAGGGGAGAATGAGTTCTGTTTTGAATGTGTTGAATTTGAAATTTCTTTGGGACATCCACTTTGAAATGTCCACTAGTTGATAGGTAGTACGTGGGAATGAAATTCAGGGGAAATATCAGAACTCGATTTTTAGAATTGTAATTCATCTGCATAAAAGTGATTAATTTGACCAATGGACACTAACGCGGTCACTAAGAGAGAACATTTAGAAAAAAGAGGAGGGGACCCATTCAGAGCTTTGGGAAAGACCAACAGTTAAAGGTCATGATCTAGATGATGAAACAGTACTGGAGACTGAGACAGATTGGAAAAGAACCAGGAGCAAGTTGTATCAGAAAAAACTAGAAATCAGAGAGTATTCTAGAGAAGTGGGTGGTCAGCACTGTCAGATACAAAAGATCTAGGAATCATCTGCATAGAGATAATAATTTATCTTCTAGGAGTTGATGAGATAAGCAAGTGGCCGTTTATAGAGAGAAGAGGCCCCAGAACCGAATCTCGAATAACTCCCACTTTTAGCTGACATAGTATGGATGAGTCTGAGAGGGACAAGTAGGAGGAAAGCCAAGACAGAGCAGAGTCATAGAAACATACAGAGTAGAGAAAATATCTAGGAGGAGGGTTAAGGACTGAGAAAAGAACTTTGGTAACTTTGGAGAGGGCAGTTTCATTTGAAAAATGAACTCCTTTTTCAGTTGGATCACAAAAAGGGAAATAATGTTTAGTGACTGTTTTATTTAAAACTGTCTTTTAAACTCAAAGAAAATTTTGTTATCCCTCTTACAGTGCCTAGACTGCTCTGAGGATTTGGATTAATAGATGACTTCCATATACATCATTTTTCTGTTTTCTTCCTTTTTTTATTTAAACATGTATAGGATTGCTTTGGATTGTCCCACTTTAAATATTTGTCATTAATTTGAGGAGTAATTTAATAACTGGTTAATATAGCACTGAACTTTAGCTGTCATTAATATTAATATTTTAAAACAGAATTTGAAAGATCTTAAATTTATTGTTTTTCTTTAGCTGTTAGAATCCTCATCCATTTGGTAGAACATCTAATAATTTAAATTCTCATGCATTAACAGGCTATGGAAGAACATTAGTGTTTAAGTTAGGAGGCCACTTCTAGTTGTTGCTAAACTTTGTGATCTTGAGAAAGTTGATTATCTTCTGGATCACAATTTCCTTATTTCTTGTTAGAGTAGATAATCATGTAACTCTTTTCTAATTTTAAAATTCTTTAATACTGGTTCAAAAGCAAAACTTGGCTTCTGTTAATTTGAAAAGCTAAGCATTTCCTAACAATATCCTTTCATGTATTTTTAGCTAATTTTCAGTGTTAAATTATTTTAATTGTCCCTATAAATTTTACCTAAGAAAGTAATTTTTATTCCATACAGTCTTTTGAGTATAAAATATGAGTAATGAATATCATTTTAGAGTCCATTTGACTTGGGCACAGTGCTACATTTTCCTCCCTCTTTATCTTATATTAATTCATATATACTTGGTGTTGATAATCTGAGGATCTGTATAATCTAAATTATTTTAGTATTTCTTTCTGATCTTTAAAATTTAAATTAAATTATTGTAATATAATGGACATGTAATGGTAATGGTGTCAGACTAGTAAATCGAAAAAGTTACTAAAGAGATAGTGAAAAATTTATATATAATACACACATACATATAATTAAACTATATTTAGTGAAAACAAGCATCATCCTTGTTTCATTATCTGAAAATAGCTACTATCTTTTTGATGGAATTTCACTTTTAAAATAGTGCCCTAAAAATTTTAGTACAGTTTAAAGCTTAAGTAGAAATATTATTTGAAATAATAATAATAGAAATATTTTAAAATTCTTCTTTTAGTGACTATTTAAATTAGCATGTAGGGGCTGCTAGGTAGCACAGTGGTTAAAGTGCTGGGCTTGAGTGCAAATGTGGCCTCAGAAACTTAATAACTGTGTGACCTTGGGTAAATCATTTAACCCTGTTTTCCACCATTCCTCATCTGTAAAATGGCCTGGATCAGAAAATGGCAAATCACTCCAGTATCCCAAGAAAACCTCAAATGGAGCCACCAAGAGTCAGATACTACTGAAATGATTAAACAATTACAAAAAAGTAGTATCTGACAGAAATATTAGATACTATTAATAATATCTCTTCTACTTGAATGATGCTGAATGTCACTGAAGTGACAACCACACACTGAAGTTGCAACCACACCAAGTGGATCCACTACCAATTATTTCTTATTCACAACTGGGCACTTGCTGATGTATGGTAGTCATTTTCATCTTCCTTGCCATTGGCCAATATATAATATTATGTTACGATAACATAATGTGATATTAATAATATAATACATACTATCAACAATATGTAATAGTCTAGTACTATTAAAGCTCAAATAAGCTTTGAAGGTATTAAGCTTTAAGAGCTTAAAATGGCACTAAGATTTTTGAAACACTGTAGCAGATACTAATTTAAGCATTTGTATCTAAAGTGAATGAGAATTTTCGATAACATTACTATTTCCTTGATTTCTATTGAATAATAAAAATAATTACTAGGGAGCTATTTTTTTCTTGGCTAGTTAGATAGGTGTCCGTGTAATTTTATCCCTTTCATAGGCATTATTTTCCTATGCTAACCCTCAATTCAATTCTTATGAAGTAGCATTATTGTATATGTAGTCATTCTTTGATTTAATTGGGTGAGGTTTTTGTCCCTAATCTGATCCAATTAAATACATAAGTAGCCTATTCAAATAGTATTTTATAAAATGTGAATTTCTACTGTATATAGAACACTGTACTGGGGCATCATGGAAAAATGCAAAGGAAATTAGTC